TTATAAGTTCGGAGATGAGATGAGAGTTATTCCATCCTTTAGGAGTGAGGAATAGAATTTAGAATTCCCAGTGGACTTACCTTTGGTGAGCATTTCAACTACTGGCAATAGGCTATTGCGGCTCTCTGAGATTCATCGATAGAGAATATGAACATGAACAGATCAAATACCTCTGGTCTAAGTGTCATAGGAGTAGTCTACCCCGGGTATAAGTGAGAGCAGTGATACTGTTTAGTATCGGGGACTTCTCGATAGTACAGTTTAGATAGGACATCTGGTAACTCCTTAGCAGCTTTGAGAAAGATTTCACCACCCTTCTCTTGCATCAAACTTGGAGGTTCGTGGACCACATTGAACTTGTTGAGTGGTTTTTACGAGTCCAGTAGCAATGTTGAAGAGGCCAACCTTATCGGTATCCATAGATAGGTCTTTAGGTAAACCACTACCATCGTTTACGACCTTGGTGTTCCGTAGTTGCTCCCACTTGATGTAGCTCAAACGCAAGAAATTAGCTAGCTCAGAAGACTAGAAGGACAGTTGGTGAGGACTAGAAAATCGCTTGACTTGTGATTACTTTTCGTCGACAAGTCGTCGACTTCTGATGAAGTTGCTTCATGGCTCCTCTTGGGGCTCGGAGGATCTCTGTTTTTGCGAGAAGCTTTTTGACTGACTTATCAAAATGAGACTTTGGGGTATTGGGTATTGGACTTTCTCCCTTCACTACGATGTTTGGATCGACACTTGCCTTTTGCAAACATCCGCCTTGCCGAAAATACTTACATACAACCGTTTTCAAATCCCGTTGGTGTTGAGGCGAAGACTCATCCTTGAGAGCCCCTACTCTTGCACTTACAAGAAGGGCAGGATCAGCAGCTCCAGGATCGGCAAGGATTGATGCCCAGCTCAATCCTCGAACTCTATAAGCAGCTGCTCTAGTCCTATACTGCCGATTAAATGCAACCGCAACATGAAAGAACTTTTAGTTTCAGACAATTTCACTACGAGACACATAGGATAAAATTCCGAGAGGTGATACTTCCCCTCTAGGGGAGAGAACCATCATGAGAGCCACTCCATATCTCATAGAACAAGTAAGCCAATGATCTAGAGAGATCACTTGAGTCAAGTGACTTGACGGGCTTACCACTTTCAAGATTCTCTTCGGTGGTAATGGCCGGATCATCAACATCCAAGGCCAAATGGCATTTGGCAAATGCGGCTCGCTCATACGGACATACATATAAGGTTCCCTCTGTAGCTTACTAAGCTCAGCTCAATAGGAACCTGGTTTGGTGTATTATACCCGATGGAGCCTCCCTTCCGATAGGGCCAACATAGGAAACCATATTACTCTCAGAGTAATACTCTGCGCGCTTGCGCTTCAATACATTCGTCGCCTGAGCCTCTTCGATGATAACATCAAGTCTCAACCTAGCCAACACTTTGGCTGTGTCAGTGGGACACTTGCCAATGACAGCGTCGATGAGAGGCGAATGTACTCTTGCCAGATAGTCTACTGCGGTAAGCCGCGGTAGTCTCAATATGCGTTACCAAGATTGTAAGGTCCTCCTCGGAAACAAGGTCTCACCTAGCAAGTCCTTGATGAGCTTGGTAGTCGGAAGTATAGGAGCTTAAATATGTATAAAATATGATATCACTGATGATATCTTTGGTCTTAATATTATCCACAATAACTTCACTACCTTGAATTTGTGCGACTTATCGCACCACTCAGCTATTGTGTTTTCATTCAATTCAGTTGTGTGGCTTGTCGCCCATATTTTTGTCGCTTAGCTCGTTTGAACTCCACATCTGCAACGCAGAGCGCAACAAATGCCAGTTTGATCTTAGCGCACGAGCCCCCGCTCCAGCGCGCAATTTGTAGGTGATGGATTGAGTTTTTTTTTGTAAAACCGGCCGACTAACACCCTGAATCACAGTCTCTGATCAGAGCCATGGTCAATGTATTACCTCGATTCTACTCAGCTGTGGCCTGTACTCGCATGCCAGTGAGTATAGTTATGCAGTTTACCCGTATACAGAGAGATTTATACTGAAATCCCTGTGTTCAGCACAATGTGTTGTAACATGAACGGAGCACATTATATCCTACGGAATTTTACTTACTGCTCGTGAATGTTCTTCTTTCCCGAGCAACACCGCTGAGATGCTCCGCATTGACATATCTTCGCTATTTCAGTCATACGCCTAGTCTCTGTAGTGATAATGATGCCGCGGGCGTGCCGTTGACGTGAAGAGGAACGTGTATCCGTTCAACTGCGTCACAAATTGTGACTCACAATCGTTGAATGCCCATCAACAAACTCTTCAGGTTAAATCATATTCGTGATGCCTTTTGCTTACGGCTCCCTCTTGCTTGTCACTGTGATGGAAGCAGCCCTGGGACTATCTGATATCCCTCTCCAGGTTACTGCTGACTATCCACCGGGTTGTTATGGAGGTCCTGGTCCAGGGAATGGAAGCACCATTTACAATATGCTAGCGCCTTCCTGCATTTACAACATGAAGGGATATACAATCGATGGGGTTCATAGAGAGGTTGGCGGGATGATACTCAACACCAACAGGCCTGGGCATTATGGCAGCTTGCATATGAACGTCAATCTGTCCACCGTGCCCGGCACCGAAAAGCATGATGTCCTGGTGGGAACGAAAGGTTGGGCTCACCTGAGTGTCGGTGATGAAACCAGAGACTTTTGGTGGAATCCAGCCCCAGGTCAGAACATCTACGGTCCAGATCCTGTTGAAGTGGGTGTCCAAGTTTCAACTATCGACTCTGGTACTCTCCCCAATAACGTGAGCATTTGGAGCTCGTGGGATAGGCTAACTGGTACAGCGAACAGCGACGGGTTGATGCTGCTATTTTGTAAGCATGAATGCTCCTCCAATGTGCCCAATTCTAGGTTCTACACCGTACAAGAAATCCGCATAGAAAAGGTGGAAGGTGGCTGGTACTACGCAATTACGTACGCATTTCGTGACGATTCTCGTAAGATAAGAGAGTACCTTAAGTATGTGATCTGGGGCTATCTGCAGGATGTGAATACAGTGTGAATCTACCCAGCACCATGCTGGGTAGATTCACTGCCTGGGTAGATTTTTGAATCATGATGATTCTATGCCTAGCCAACGTGGCGACGTCGGTGAGGTGGTCTCCTGGTCCGATGCTGGTGCCTCACGCACCGTACATATGTCTTGGACAATTCGAGGATTTCGGGTGGCTTTCACCATCTGTTTATCATTCACTCTCATTTTCCCGTATCTCTGCCCAATATCGCGTTAATGCCGTGCGTAGGAGCCTGCTTTTCATCGCTTATCTGTATGCAGGTCTGCGGGTTGCTGCGCGCTGTCCAACTTTTTAATGAGCACACTCTTGCAACCCTCATTGAAGCTCGAGGAGCGCTCAAGAGGGAAGCTTTAGCTGGGCTCATCACCTTCCAATGATCAGTGAGTGGCCGGTTATTGGATTGAACAAGAGCAATATGGTATTTTTTCTTTTCCTCGAATACTGTGGCTGTTGTTGCGTTCAGAAATGGAGGACACTTTCTAGACCACCTCGGATTTTCGCGACAATAATATGCTACCCTCCACGTAGATTACGTAGTGTAGAATGTCGGGACTCACCCGCCTGG